TGCAGCATCCACCACTGGGCTGTCCATGGTATTGCCGGCCGCGGCATCCTGCTCGACTATCGCCATTATGCGAATATCCACAACATTGACTATGACCCATATACGGCGCACCCCATCTCCTTCGACGACCTCAAAGCCTGCGCCGTGTACCAGGGCATCGATCTCCGTCCGGAGTCTCAAGGCGGCGACATCAAAGTAGGCGACATCCTCATGGTCCGCTCCGGGTTCGTAGAACGATATAACCAGCTGACTCCAGCGGAGCGCACGGCGGCCGCCGAGCGCGCACACGATGATCTTAAGTGGGCGGGTTTAAAGCAAGAAGAGGCGGTACTAAACTGGCTTCATGATTGTTACTTTGCGGCAGTTGTAGGAGACTCGCCCACGTTCGAATGCTGGCCACCGATTGACGGGAATTACATGCATCAGAACATTCTCGCATTGTGGGGGATGCCACTGGGCGAGATGTGGGATTTGGAGAAGTTGGCGGTTAAATGCCGGGAAAGGAAGAAGTGGACTTTCTTCGTGACGAGCGCTCCGGCCAATGTTGCTGGTATGTGTTGCTACCACCGATGTGGTGTTGAGCGATCGCTAACTGTGGTTTAGGAGGTGTTGGATCTCATGCAAACGCGACGGCTATTCTGTAGACCAAGCTGCGTGTATGAACTATCCTTTGTATCAGCGACTCGATTAGCAATATCTCTATGGTTGAATCACTCCCTCTGCTTGAAGAGGCATTTATATAGGTGCAGTTCTAGGCAAAATCCGACGAGGTGTACATCGGACAGGGCAGATCGCCTTGGACACTGTTTATAAGGATTACCATCCCTTCTACAATGCGCTATCGTCTGTCTAGACTGAACGATTGTATACCTCTTGAACTCTGCCGAAGACCGGTACATCTACTGCAGGAGACGAGCACAACAACCAGAGCAATCAGGACTCAAACAGCCAATCTCATCAATCCATATATTTAAATATATTAATAATGCACAGCGATGATATCAGGATCTCAGACATCATCGATCACACGCCCTCGGAGCGGATGCGGGGGCGAGTCGCGTGGCGGATACAAAAAGTGTGCGGATCGAGCCACGGTTCACAGAAAAGAGCTTATCCTCCAGATAGAAAGAACCTCACATCAATCAGACTCGAAGATATCATCAGCTGAACGCGGATAGAAACGGCGATCCTGATTCTATTCTGATCTACAAACCCGCTGCGGATAGTGCACTGGTCTGCGGCCCGCACACAGTACTGCGGTTGGCGGCCGCCATGATGAATGGATGAAGTATAAGACCTCGTATCAAGGTCACCAGATCCTTAGAACGAATCTTCAAACTCGCAATAAAGAATAATCAACATGCGACTGCAACACCCAAACACAGACTCGGCAAGCAACATACGGTCTACCGCCACAGGCTGGAGGCGACTCAGCGTTGGCGTCGTGGGTGGCGGCATCGGCGGCCTTGCAGCATCCATTGCGCTGCGTCGCGCAGGCCACGAGGTAACCATCTATGAGCGCCATGATTTCGCCGGGGAAGTGGGAGCCTCGATCTCGTGCGCGGCGAACGGCACGCGCTGGCTGCACGAGTGGAAGGTGGATATCGCCAAGGGGGATCCAGTTGTGCTGCGCAAGCTGATCAACCGCGACTGGAAGACGGGGGAGCCCGTCAGCGTGTATGACCTGGATGGGTATGAGGAGCGATGGGGTTACATATACTACATGTTCCATCGGCAGTACATGCATGCTATGTTGAAAGACTGCGCGATGCAAGAGGAGGGAGAGGGGACGCCGGTGAAGTTGCTAGTGAACCATCAGGTAGGACTCTCGACCACCGTATTAACATGGTACTAAGGGAAGCAGTGCAAAGACATCAACCTCGAGACCGGGGTGATCACCTTCGCCAACGGCAAAACCGCCCAGCACGACCTCATCGTCGGCGCGGACGGCATCGGCTCCGCCGTGCGTAGCATCATCGGTCTCAAGCCGGAGAAGAAACCCGCCGACTCGAGCTGTCTGCACGCCAACGTGCGCACCGAGGACGCCGTCCGCCTCGGGCTAGTCGATTACTCACAGCACAGCGCGCTGGAGTACTGGGGCGGCCAGGACAACAGCTGGGACAAGATCGTGCTGTCGCCCTGCAACGGCGGCAGCCTGCTCTCGTACTACTGTTTCTTCCCGCGGGAGAAGGGCGATTTCACGAACCACACTTGGGGCGGCACGGACCGGCCGGTTGAGGAGCTGCTCGCGCCGTACCCCGAGCTGGACAAGCAGGTTCGGGCGCATCTGGCMATCGGGCTGGAGATCCGGCCGTGGCGGCTGTGGGTGCATCAGCCGTACCCGTATCTGGTCCGTAATATGGTGTGTCTGTTGGGCGATGCTGGTCATCCGGTACGTTGTCCCCGTTTCAAGTCAGGATGCTCTCAGCTGATAGGCTGTAGATGATGCCGCACCAGAGCCAGGGTGCCTGCATGGCTATCGAGGACGCCGCTGCGCTGGGTATCCTTTTCAGACCGGACTATTTTGACGGCAATGTCGCGGAGGCTCTGCAGGCATACCAGGAGATCCGACTACCGCGTGTTACTAAGGTGCAAGCGGCGTCGGCCAAGGCAGCATCCAATATCAACGAGCGGATTGGTAGGCACCTCCGGGGTTTACAGGTGAGGTCGATGCTAACGTCCACAGGCTTCTCAAGCAATACCAATATGCCAAAGTACAAGGTCGCCAGCGAGAAGGACAAGCTGACCATCGAGGAGATGAATGGGTGAGTCGTGACTGTTAATAGATTGCCTGCACACTGTCTAACCTGCGACTCAGATACGACATGTACAAGGATGTCGAGGAGGTTCTCGCCAAACGCCGGGGACAGCCGTTTCCGCAGCAGTATATCCGTGGGCTTCCCATCGGGTTGAAGTTATCGAATGGCACTGTCGTTGGCCAGCAGCCGCCTGCTCAGATGAAACTTTGACCTTTCTCGTGTGTTATATGATATACCCTTTACCCGATCGAAGCAGGCTTCTTGTATTTTGTATTGTACACAATGGTGACTATCTTTTTATGAATCTTGTGAATAGCTTGAGCTAGGACAACGCCTCTTTAAGCGATTCATATTGTACAGTCTACAGTAAGAGGCTGTGGTTGGATCCAATGGAGCTCTATCCAAGGCATATGACTCGTTTATGGTCAAATGTCTAGTCGATCTGCGTTCAACTCGAATTAGCATGAGGTAAGAACCACAGATCGAAGGTCGTAGGGTAGTCTGTACTTACCTGCCTTGTCTGCTAAGCTTTATGAATGTGGTGATCTGACAAGGGGAAGAATAGCAGCCGATAAAAGATAATCAGAGAGAGTGTAGAATTCACTGGCTAGGGGTACAGGTGTAGCATCCACTGCAGAACAGTCTACTTTTAATAGATTCATATCCTAGTTAAACTCATCAGGATACTTGAATACACGATTAAACGCCGCATCACGTCCCACGCCATATTKGATATGATTGATAACATCCTTTGGGGTGAGTGGTTGTGCCTTCTTCAAATTCCGCAGGTAAGCCTCCTTGTTATGACGCAGTATTTTCAGTGTACGATCTCGAGCCCAAAAGGTCTCGCTACTCCTCCGTAATTTCTCAATCTCGAGGCACAGGTGTCGCCAGTCAAGATCTTCATGTCGGATCTCGTCCAGCTCGAGGAGATGAGGAGCAGCTCGACCGCGCCAATAGCTGTCCATCGGGGGGCAGTGTACGGCCTGACAGAACCGTCGGACGCTCAGGTAGTCCAACCTGTCGAGAATCAAGCAGAGAATGTCACAAGGCAGATTTAGCCGCGGAATCCTGGACCTCACTCGGGAAGACCGGCGCAGAGCCGGAGCAGGTTCTGCCCGTCGTCGCCTGCATTCTTCGATCAGCCTCCCGATGACCGGGATCCGAAAGGGATCTACGGTGGAAACAGGTCAGAGTCAGTCATCGTTTCTATCGATCGATTGATTTGGTCCCGGGGATGCCGGCTGCCCGTACCCTGTGCACGTCGCTTCTTCTTCCATGAATCCCAAACCAGAAACTCCTCGGTGTGGAGTTCCGTCATCCTCTTTAATGAGGCAGCAAGGATGGAATGGAGATGATTCTCCACGTCAGCATCAACAAATCTCAGGGTCAATGACCAACATGAAGCATGAACCGCAAAGGCGAATTCACGCCAGTCCACCGGCTTAGCCAATGAGCTGGACCACAAAGCGACATTCTGAACGTGGTACCTGACGAGACCGGATGGGTCTCGGTTGGTTAAGCCAATGCATGCTTGGTTCCTGTCGATTGGAGCCTTAAAGTAGGTCTCTATGGGATCTGCAAGATGTGCAATACCAGATAGTCGGTACGCCTGGCTCGATCGATCAAAATAGACTGTTTGAGATGATCAGCTCAACTCAATTGATTGAACTGCAGAAAGGAAACCAACTTAGACGATAAGTACCCACCCACTCTTCCTTCTCCCGGAAGCGATACGTCCTTTCCAACTCGTCTGCATCGAGCCAAAGCAGCTGGGCTCCCTGGCCCGACTCCTTCAAATCCCTGTAATGACCACAAATCGATTGACAGAAGCCAAAGCCGGCTTCAATGCCACATACAACACAGCCAGTGTAAAATCGGCAACCCATTGAGACTATTCGGTTTGAAACTTGGAGAACTCGAAGGAAAAAGTCTGATAATATCTGAATATTGATGTCATGGTGACAATGGTAAGCAATCGCGTTCCTCTGGTTCTACAACGTCGGATTCAGTTTGAGAACCAAAGGAAAGAATATAACCATCCTATTCGATATGGACACTATCTCTAGAGAGAAACCATCTAAGTAAGTAGCCTTCACATGTTCACATTCAAAGCCACTGATGTCGGTAACTACGAAGGTACGGTGCCTTATGAAGATTGCTTGAAGCTTGATTTGTGTCTATCTAACGGGTCCTTGCTAGAAGTAGGCCTTTTCAGCCACGGTTGCAACCACAAATCAACTACCGCCCAGCGAGGCGCTCCTCCCTGATGTCCATGAGGCGCTCATGAATGGTGGCAGAATAGCCCAATATGTCATACCTGCCGGCGTAGAGCACCGGGACAGATTCGGCCGCGTCCCACTTGTAGAATTCGACATATCTGCCGACGGCAATAATGCCGTATTGCGGATGGCGCCACGGGTGCTGTGCCACCATGTGTTTCATATATCGTTCCAGATGATCAAAGCCCTCCGCCCAGGTGGCCTTGTCATTCTCTCTTGCAGTGCGCTTGCACTGCGTCACAAGGAATGGTGTCCTCACACGCCTGGGTTGATTTGGCCGAACTACCCACTGGTAGCTACTCATATCGACATAGCCCCTTCTACTTTGTCCTTGCTTCTATGGACAAAGCCATCCCTTTGGTTGAAGTAATGGTTGAGGAGGAGGTTCCAGACGCCAGTTACGGCGCCCTCGTAGTCTTGGACACTCGCGGCCCGGTACTCATCGTGGAAGGTCAAAAGCGTATCATACTTGGATGCCAGGGAAAATCAGCAAGGGCACAGCACACAGTCGATCAAAGAAATGCTTACAGGCTGAATGCTCATGTTGGCTATGATGAGATTGGCAACCTTATGAAAGCAGTAAATCCCTGTTCCCCGATTAGCTGTCTGTCGATATACAAGAGATCTGTGAGCTTACTTGTATGAGGATGATGATAGAGGACGATAGCCTGGTAAGTTTCTTAGAGATCTACTAATGAAAGCTGTCGTTGACGGAGAGCAACGTATTTATACCAAATGACTGACAAGTCGTTCCTATTGAAGCAGGATGTGTCCAGTCCACAGATTGCTTGCTATACATGTTAACAAGCAATGTCATTGTGATCCCTGACAATGAGCTATAAGGCATATACGCTCATCAATAATGCATCCAGGCTTGCAATGTGGAACTCTATACAAGCCAGCCATCTATGCTTAGAGATTGAATAAGGGCTATTGTCTAGAATGTCATTTCATTGTAAGTACAGAGTAGTGGCAGCGCTGGGCTGAAGCAGGAATGGCTATTCTTTGTATATATACTGGAGAGTTTGCAATGAATTGCGAGTATGAGACAAATTATTCAAGACAATGTCTGAATACCAAGAGGCTGTATGTCTTTAGTATGCACTAATCTGTAAGGACTMGACAATCATCAATCATATCCATCTGTCAAGGTGAAGCAGTGGTCCTATGCACAATAGGGTCTGTCTTTACTAGGAAAGTTCTTTGCAACAATGAATAATGCCCAGGTGTGGCTTGCTTTAAGATACACACTGCCAGGCAGCTGTCATTGTTTCCCCATTGCCATTACATTATGAATTGGAGGTGTTAACTGACTCAATTAGCTAACCCTACCCGCGTGGTAGAATTATATTCTAAATAATCTTTAGGTATTCTAGGATGAACCCTGAATCAAAGTATGCCTCTATACCATGGGCTAGGTAAGTCAATAGATGTGATACAATGTCATGTCAAGAGCAGCCTGTAGCAGTTGATATTGTATGATAAATATTCCAACCAGCTTTATAGTGGAACACATATAGTTGAGATGCTGGCTGCCTTCTTCAATAATCAACAATATTACTACACACTTCAGTTTGTGTAAGTACTCTTATGGTGCCAAAACGACAGCTTTCCTTAATGTCTTCACTTTACTATTTTCTGAATTTCGCTCCGTCCGGGCCATTGGATGCTGCAGGAGACAACTAGAGAACTAGATACTCTCCTCAAGATCTCAGCACGATGAATAGCGAGAGAAGTATACTAAGCTCATGAATGATGCCATACTGATTGCACGTGTATTCAGTGGGGGAGGCGGAGGTGGCATAGACTGGACAGCTGCATAGTTGCCACGGCTGGCATGATTATACGTATTGCCTCTCCTTCTAGTAATGCGCTCTCTCATGCGACGGCTGGCGTTCAACCGTCTCCTCCAGCGGCGCMAATCTGGTCTATTGTTTGTGATTTCCGATGGCGTCGAGATTCTCTCCGTTTCGTTCGGAAGTTGCAGCATCATCGACACGTGGCCCATGAACATCAAACTCTTCCTTAAAGGGCATCTGATCAGGGGATGACCTCTCTGCAAGCAGAGTTGTAGGATTAGAATTAGTAGTGTATATAGCCAATGAAAGTCATACTTACAGACTTAAGGCTCATGTCTGGTGCGGTCATTGTATCCTGATCTGTAATGAGTGTGATTCTGATTCATCGTTAACAATTTCAATATGCAAGAAGCATGAGACCTGACCTCGTTTTGGACGCCAGACAGGACGTCATCAATGATGTTTTTCATTAGATTAACTTATAGTAAGAAGGAAGAAAGAAGGCATTCGTTCTGACTTCTGAGGCCTAGAGACAAGTCATGGAGAGAGAGGGTGTGGGAGAGAAGGAAAAAAAGAAACAAGAAGAGATACATACTGGGTAGCTTTAGTCCGGGCCGGTACAGGCTTCGAGATAATAACATTCACTGCCAGTCAGTCTGGGAATTCATAGCATTAGAGGGTTTGACAGTGCTCAGGCTCTGGCCAATGTGCCTATTTTCTTTTAATGTATCAGCTAATGGCCAAAGAGCACCTCACCTGGGAGATTTCAAGACTACGTTGAAATCAGGGCTTGAGCCTGTATTGTCTATAAACAGAGATGAAGAGTACTGCCCCTCGTTCCATGGTAGACAAGCTAAAAGATTGACAAGTCACACGCCTAAGATGAAAGCTTCAAGGGCCTTGCTGATGCTATTTCGATGTCATTCCCAAAAACTTGACGAGTAGTCATCCGAAGCACTATAAATCTGTACCGCAACATGCTCATTCAATTTTCGTCCATCATTCCATCCTACCACACATTATGTCGTCCCAACGCACTGAACTCGGACATTTTGCAAAGCTGCCGCCTGAGCTGCGGCTCTGTATATGGGACTGGCTACTCCCTTATGCAGACACCAAACGCTTTCCTGAAATGGAATGGCCGAGACGAAACACTTCGCTTACTATCCTCCGCACCAGCAAGAGGCTACACGATGAGATATCGCATCATCTGTATTCCAACATTCCTGTCTTATTCACCGTCGATCCGCTCGAATCATCGTGGACTTACTGTAGACTTCCAAAATTCAGACTGAGATTCACCCTTGGCTGTATGGGCCGCGCATTCTATCTCGGCTTGCACAAATTCCCTTTCCATAGGGTACCTGTGCACGTCGACATCCTGCCACCAAAACCCTCAAGTCCTGGTCAACTGATACTACTGTTCGAAAGGCTCCAGGTGTTAGTGGACTTTCTCAGTATGGCAAAGTCTATAAATGCCATGGATATCCACTTTCGTCACTCAACAGACAAGAGAAGAAAATGGCATAAGCATGGGAAACCACTGAGAAGCCTGACATATGCGCCGTGGTTCGAGTACGAATTCATGGACCACCAGATCATCTCCCTACCATTCTGTCGATTACACAATGTCTCATCCAAGACACGGCATTACTCGAAAAAATGGGGCATAGATTGGGCGATTCCCGCACGCGCAGGGGTATGTTTCAGACGCGATGGTGACCGGACCATCGATGAATTTGACGATATCGACCTCTTCTTTTCAAAACTCAGCAATTGCTTCGTTGATCGAGTTGAGAAGGGATTGCCCGGGGAAGCAGCCCGTGCACTGCGGCATCAACTGGAGCAATGGACAAAAGCGGGCATGCAGAAAGAAGCCTTCAAATTTGACATACTATGCTCCCGAAAATGGTACAGAGACCGGCACAGTGTATGCTTGGATTCAGATAATATACCTTTAGAGTCATATCGCTAGCATGACATGGGGAATGAGGCTACACGCCTTGACTTGTGATGGCCGTACCTCCAGGGTATATCTTGATATGGTATAAGTCAATTCGAGCATATATAGCTTTCAGAAGACGCTCCCAAATTCCATGTATCGCGGTCCCTTAGGAAGATACTCCAGCACAGTGTATGTTCGGAGGTCGTCAAAAGGCCTCATATCTAGGTAGTTGGATGATATGCCGCCAGTACTCGGAGCGTCACTCTTTCAAACTTGTGATATTGCGTACAAGCAACTGCACCTCCACGACAGCTCCTTCCTGTCTTGTACAGCAACCAGAGTGATGTGTTTATATGATTGAGGTCAGGCATTGAATTCTCTATTCCTTCCACTTCTCTTTCCTCTCTGTCCATGCACTTTCATTGATCAAGCTTCTAGCTTTAGATCAAGAACAACTTTATACTAAGTATTATACGAACCTCCCTGCGATTTAAATGGGCTTTTGCTCAAGCTTTTTGCTTTGAACAGAGTACGACTTTTATTTTAAGTTTTATACGAACCTGCCTGCGCTGTAAAATGGGCTACTACGGTAGCTCCGAGTACGTATATCAGAGTTATTCATAGTTTGCAATACCTGACTGTCCTTCTACAGCTCTTCCTCTTCCTCTCTCTTCGTACCCTCCGGTCTCGAAGATTATGAATCTGGCGCAGGCTGCTGAGCGACCCTACACTTTGACTCTTGCGCAGACGCGTGCAGTTTTAGAATGGCTCCGCCGAGAGTCACAGGCATCAGCATCTGGTTCGTTGACAAGCACTAAGGGCAGCACAGCTCGACTGGTATTCCTTGTACTCCTTGGGGATTATGCAAGCCGACTGTGGAAGTGCCTTCGGAAAGCATCGATCGCTCTCAAAGACGACCTACCGGATCGTGTAGGCGCATTCCAGAAAATGCTGATCGTCGAAGCCAAGTACGGGGACGGCGAGTACCGCGCCACCCTACTTGCCTGTGTCAATTACTTACGAGAGCATGTAATGGATGTGGACGACAGGATGGCACGTCTGGCAATACAAATCTACACGGAACGAAACGAGGCCTGCCATACAGCTGGAAATATATCGCCGGCGACTTGCAAGCACTGGGCAAACTTAGCGACACGTTTGAGATGCCTCCCAAGTACTGCCAGAAGCCTAAGTGGCAAAACATGAGATTTTGAGCGACTGGTGCATTTCTAGGGGACAGTGCAAGTTGAATCGCACCTACTTCCCAACAAGCTCCTATCCTCGAAGTCTGAAGAGGAGGGTCTACATGCCTTTGATGGCATCCTCGAAGACATAGGAGTGCTGAGATCCAAGGTGGTAATAAGGCAATACAGGCTGTCCAGGAAGCTTTTTTCAGGCAGCCTGCAGCCTCTACAGCAGAAGGAGCGTCGGTATTAAACCGCCTCTTCGGTTCTATATCCTCCTATAGCTGTGCCATCTCTCCACGATTGCAATCCAAATAGTCTCCTGTTAGAATATGATACCGCTACGATTATGGATATGAAACCCTTGCCTGATGAGCACTTCGTCCGGACGCTTTTTGGCCTAGTGGCATCATAATTCAATATCTCCCATAAGCGCGCCGAGAAAGGGCCTATGCAGAATATGAGAGCTTTGCCCTGACTATTTGACGTATTGGAAGACTATAGTCGCCAAGCTATACATGCCTTATAGTACGCCCTACCGAAACATGGCTCATGCCCTAATATAGACGTATCCGCATGGACTCTCATCGACTACATTACCGGTGGTCTTTGCTATGTTTGACTATTGCTATTCTGTGCTCTTCACGCTGCTCTTAATCAATTTATTAAAAATCAATAGGAACATATCCATAGATCGTCTGCCACATGTTGTTAGACGGATCGCGTTCGTTTCGCGAGAAATGCAGAAAGGTTTGGTCAGGGCTTCGGCTCAACTTCGCCATGTCTTCCTCCGTCGTTCCAGGAGGATAACCGTCTCGAGGCCGAAAGACACCGAGGGGTCTAATGCGTGCTTCGCCAGGGACGAGCACTGTTGGTGCCCTAATTTCCATCTCGGTAAGCGTAGGGCATGGGCTTGCGCCAAGATCGAAATCCATGCTGAACGGACTTTGACCTGCGCTTATTGCCGTCCCATACATTTCTTCTAGCATCATGATTCGTTCGCCTATCGTGGCACCCATCTCGCGCTTGTAGAGCCCCTCCACCTGATGCGCTTGACGAAGAAGAGCGAGTGCTGTGCGTCGAATTGTGGGTTCGCGACACCTGGCGCATGTGAACCAAAGCGGGAGACCAACGCTGAGTTCAAAGGTAAATGGTGGTTGGGTGCCATCATGCCGCGCTGAGCCACTTAACACGATGCTAGACTGTTCAACTATAGTTTGGAAGTTTTGTAGATGATCATCAGTGGTGATCCGCGATGGTGATACGCAGACCCCCAGCATGACAAATAACATTTCGTGGTAAGAGAGGAGCAGAGCGCCGGTACTAACTTGCGATGAATCTCTTGTGCAACGAGATTTCATCAAGTTAGTAAATGCAGTGTGCCAGCTCCGTAGCCTAACTGCCAAGGTTCTTCGCTGATCCATCATTTCTTGGGATATACAGCCGGCATGCGATTTTATCAGATACTCTTCGCAAGCTAATTCAAACAGCGGGATCTCTATAGCTAGGATAACGATGGCCTCCCGAGCAGACTTGAGGGAGACAAACTCGTGTGTGGATGCAAGGTCAGTCTCCTGTAATAGACTTCTCCCTAGAACCCCAGCATTGAGAGTGACTGCTCCTAGTCGGACAAAAATCGGGATAACTGTTTCCTTTAATATAGAGGTTTTGGTGGCTGTCATGGCCCTGCAAGCGAGAATGAGCTGCACACCTTGGCCATAGAGGTGGAGAGCTTCCTCCATACCTCCTAAGAGGGCCTCAATGCAGATAAATAAGATGCATGTAATGAGTCCGACAAAGCTGTCTATAGTCCCACGTTCAATTCCCCGGCGAACCGCAGACACTGAGCGCGAGTACCACTCCAACGCGTCTCGTTGGTTTTGATTGAGCAAGCGAGATTGATCCCGGCGCAGAGAGACGAGATCCTGTTCGGGATTGGGATTCTCGAACAGTGAGCTTATGGCGATCATGGCATCCCACACAGCAGGTTCACTCCGGCAAACCTGCGGGACAACCGTGCGCCAGAAATCAACATCCAGTCCACCGCCAATGGACGCTGCAGCGTACTGGAAATAGTAGGCAAAAGCGCGACGCTCTCGCCATACCGTGTTTGAGGATAATGAAAAGGAGTTGTCAAGAATGGATATGGCAGAAGCCGAGGCGAAAAATATGCAGGACACTGTACTTTCATACTCGCACTTGCGACCAGTGCTAGTGCATCGGAGACAACGAGGCTTTTCTTCTCCACACTTGACTCTCCGAACTCTGGAATGCGATTTAATATTTTACACTTTCTGCGAAAAGAAAGGAGGCACCAACTTGCAGGTTTTGCAACCCTGTTTTGATCTCAGGGGTCTGATGGAGCTACCTCTCAAATCGGCTGACAGGCTAACGGACATATTGATGACATTCCAGAACAGACTCCCATCCTAGCCAAGAACCATGCGGGATTTTGTGAGAGGGATAGCTCGCGCTGCAGACAGCTGATCAATGTACTGTACGACAGGAGGTTAGGTGCAAATGACTCCAGCAAAGGAAAGGGGGATAAACATGGAAAGTGATTGGCCAGAACCTTTGATTTAGCGGAACATCATCCAACCGAAGTCATTACAAAGCACCGAATATCCCCATTTCTCACGACAAAATCTTAGTAATTCTGTGCGGAATTAAGGCCGTCAACATAACCATACTGATGTCTGATGATATGGGTTGTGCACGCTATCTAAGAATTTAATTAGCAATCAGAGTCTATCACTCACTTTATGGAGACGTTGGAATCGGACTGTCTCACTTTATTAGATACCCTGCGGATTTACTAAGCGGAAGATGACAACATCTACCCATGGCTTGACAAATCCAAGGACAGTTATAGTGGATGGCATCATTCACGAGGATGATGAGATGCCATGGTGCTACACATGAAAGATATAAAGCCATCTTGCTGTTCATACATAGGAACAGCCTCGTCTAACAGGTCCTCAACTCATCCATCTTTTATTCCTCGCCAATTAACAACTATCATTCTTCTAAATGTCGCCGAAAGTAGCCATTGCGGGAGTAAGTACATCGACGCTCCACCATCACATATCATATTATCATCAAGGGTCACTCACATACATCTGCAGGCCACTGGCAATCTTGGCCCGGCTGTACTCAACGCCCTGCTCAGCGCCGGCTTCGAGGTGACTGTCTTGACCAGGGCTGAAAGTGACAGAAGCAAAAACAACTTCGGCCAAGCCCGCGTGGTACCAGTCGACTACAGTTCCTTATACTCCTTGACAGCAGCCCTGAAAGGCCAAGATGTAGTCGTCAACACCCTCGGCGCTATCTCCCGAGACGTCCATCTCAAATTGATAGACGCAGCCGTCGCTGCCCAGGTCCAGCGCTTCATCCCTTCAGAGTTCGGCTCCGACACAACCAACGCCATTGCAGCCAAGCTCCCAGTCTACCAGGACAAGGTCGCCATTCAGAAGTATCTCCGGGAAAAAGCAGCCGAGTCTGCGGGCACGTTCTCCTACACTCTCCTGATCACCGGCCCTTTCCTCGACTGGGGTCTGGCTGTCGAGTTCCTACTTAACTGGCGGGCCCCAGAAGTGGAGCTGTATGATGGGGGTGAACGAAAGTTCAGCGTGACGACGCTCGCGGGGGTAGGCAAGGGGATTGTTGGCATAATCAACAACCTCGAGGCCACGAGAAATCGCAAAGTGTATATCCGTGAGGCTGATGTCTCTCAGAGCGAGCTTCTGAAGCTCGCGGGCAAGCAGCTGCCCACCAAGTCCATCAGCACCGCAGAGTTGGAGAAAGAGGGTTATGCCGAGCTCGCCAAGCCGAACCCTAACCCAAGGGTGTTTGCGTCAGTTTCCTCAGGCGAACTATTTTCGGGGAAGGGTCCGGCAGTCTTTTCCCTGCTGAGAGTCTCAGTAACGATCTGCTGGGAGTGAAAACGCTTACCAAGGAGGAGCTGCAGGAGATTGTGTCCAGGTCGACTAAGTAGATTGTATATAGACCTTTACTATCCTCGCATGCTTGCCAGTACGTAATTATACTAGAAGATAGCTCGGCAAACGATCACATTGGCTTATCTCATTTTCGCATCGCAATTATAACCTCATCCAAACAGAGGAGCAGGCAGTCTGCAAATAGACAACTTAAAAGCCAGGTTCGAACGGCCCCTTCAACAACCTCAACATTTCCCTCGGATCATCCTCATCCACAATGAAGCCACGGGCATACTTCGACACCGAGGTCGCAATCACAAGAGCGATATAGGCAACGTCGCTTCGAATCCGTCGTACATCGTCTCTCATCCAGCGATACATCCGCAAGGCATGATCATATTCAACCCGGTTCTTTTCATCCAGATCCGAATACCGGAGAGCGCCTATCTGAAAGTCTCCGTAAGTTGGAAGGCTGGGCTCATCCGGCACAGCTGGGGCGTCTGTAGTGTCAGGGTCGATGTATGGCCAGACATTCTTGCACACGGACGCCAGTCGGATTTCCTTGTACCAAGCTGGCCAGTCGTCGCGCTGTGCGAGGATGATTGGCTTGGATGGAGCGGTGAGCAGCTGGCTTATGTTTTCATTCATTATGGGATACAGCCAGTCGAGGGTAGAGGTTCCCAGGTCTATTGAGTATAACTCGGAGAGTCATGGAAGTGTAGTTGGCAAACAATGACGTTGATTGCCACCAGTTCAGACAAAGCCTCAGGCACTCAATATAGACTTCGAGGAAACCCGGTCAGCTGACTTAGCAAACCCTAAGCAGCACCAGGCATACAAACAGATGATGATCTATACTTGTGGCACTGTTGGCCATTCAGTAGAATCATTGGATACTTTGAAACTCTTATTATGCAATAACATTGCCTACGCAGAAGACAATACTGCAAGGGTTGCCTACGTACTACCAAGTCGGCATTGATAATTCCACCTTGTGCCAAGCCGAATCAAAGCTTATGGGGGCTTCTTTTTCAGGGGTAGCTACATTCTGATTGATGGACTTATCAATCCCCACGATTTCCCCAGATTTCTCCGCAACTTAGTCGTTTCTTCAGGGGATTTTGTGATTGATGGAATTGCTTAACCATGGGCTATAGTCTGGGCCCTCTGGAGATTGCGTACACAATTACCTCAAGCTTGGTCTTTTATTGAGTGTATAGCATCTCGTGACACAATCTCCTCGACGTGGTTTTACAGCTAACTGCTATGTATAAATAGGCAGAATGCGACCATAATCCACCATGTAACCAACATCAATCCTTACAGAATGCTAGGTCTTTCTCTCGCCCTCGCTGCCTGCGTGGCCGTCACGCAGGCCCTACCAGGCTACCCCGTGGCGCGCGACACTTCAGGCACTTGTTCTGGTGTGCATGCACGCGTGTCTCCTCCAGCTGGAGCAGTCGTCGTGGACAACAGCGCAAACCCTCATCCAGGGTCTCATGCAACTGTGCAGGCCGGTGTCAACGCGCTCAACACCACCACGACCAGCCCCCAGCAGCTTTTCATCTTCCCCGGCACCTACACCGAGCAGGTCTACATCCCCCGGTTGAAGTCGAACCTGACGGTGCAGGGATACACCTGCAACGCCAAAAGCTATGAGCACAACAAGGCCACCATCACGTACAATCTGGCCCTGATCAACACCACCAGCGACGATCTTACCGCCACTCTGCGCCAATGGAACCCCAACACTAAGATCTACAACCTCAACATCGTCAACACGTTCGGCCATATTCCCCAGAACGGGCAGAACCTGGCGGTCTCTGCCGAGGCGGACGGCCAGGCATACTATGGCTGTCAGCTAATCGGATACCAGGACACGCTGCTGGCCGAGACGGGCCGTCAGCTGTACGCCAAAAGCCTCATCGTCGGCGCAGTGGACTTTATTTTCGGACAGAAGGCGCTGGCCTGGCTGGAGAGCATCGACATCCGCACTATTGCTAACGGCTGCATCACCGCGTCCGGTCGCGACAGCGACTCCAATCCCTCCTGGTACGTGATCAGCCGGTCCAACGTCTCGGCCATCAACAACACCATTCCCGCGGGGATCAACTACCTCGGTCGTCCGTGGCGGGACTATGCTCGTGTTGTTTTCCAGCAAACTTACCTGGGGAACAACATCGCTGCTGCTGGCTGGTCCCAGTGGACCAAGAGCACCCCGAACACGGACCATGTCACCTTTGCCGAGTATCAGAACTACGGACCGGGCTCTGTGTCGCAGGAGGGACCGCGCGCCAACTTCAGCCAACAATTAACTGCGCCGATCTCGATCCGGTCTATCCTGGGAGAGTCATTTGAGGATGAGTGGTGGGTTGATGCCGACTATCTGCATCCGAGTGATCTCAAGGATAAGCCCAAGCCTTCCAAGGCTACGTCAACTTCTACTTCTGTACATACCTCAGCTGCTACCATAGCTACCACAGCTACCACAGCTACCACAGCTACCACAGCTACCACAGCTACCACAGCTACCACAGCTACCACATCACCCTCCTCTTGCACCTGCACATCTTACTCGCAGATCTCCTCCGCCGTTGCGTCCTGCACAAACATCGTCCTGTCCAACATTGCCGTCCCCAACGGCTCCGCCATCGACCTCTCCGCCCTCCTCCCCGGCACAACCGTCACCTTCGACGGCACCACCACCTTCGGCTTCACCAACTCCTCCTCCTTCAACCCCATGACCATCTCCGGCTCCAACATCACCATCACCGCCACCCCCGGCGCCATCATCGACGGCAACGGCCCTGCCTACTGGGACGGCCAGGGTTCCAACGGCGGCGTCCCAAAACCCGACCATTTCATCGTCGTCAAAAAAGTCACCAGCCACTCGACCATCCGCGGCCTAACCATCCGCAACTGGCCCACCCACCTGTTCTCCATCTCCTCCTGCTCGGACCTGGTCTTCGAAGATCTGGTCTTGAACAACACAGCCGGCGACGCACCAAACGCACGCAGCGGCACACTCCCCGCCGCACACAACACAGACGGATTCGATGTGTCCTCGTCGAGCAATATCGTAATCCGCCAAAGCACAGTATACAACCAGGACGACTGCGTCGCCATCACAAGCGGGAACAACATGACCATATCGGAGATGGCGTGCTACGGCGGCCACGGGCTAAGTATCGGGTCTGTGGGCGGGAAGAGCAATAACAACGTGACTAATATCTTGGTATACTCCCCTCACTTATATGCAGTATTCTTGACAAGTTATGCTAACGCATGGTAGTTCACCAACTCGGCAGTCTACGACTCGCAAAACGCCTGCCGCATCAAATCCAACTACAACACCACCGGGTACATCGCCAACATCACCTACGCGAACATCCGCGTCCAAAACGCCTCCATCTACGGCATCGATGTCCAGCAGGATTATCTCAATGGTGGTCCGACCGGAAACCCGTCCAATGGTGTGCTGATTGAGAACGTGAGCTTCCAGAATGTCACTGGCACGGCTGCCTCGTCTGCTAGGGACTATTATATTCTCTGTGGAGAGGGGTCGTGTGAGAATTTTACGTTTGAGAATGTGGATATCACTGGGGGTGGTGTTAACAGTAGCTGCAATTATCCCGCCAGTGGATGTCCATAGCTGTATATACTTTAGTCGACTGTATATATTCTCATGTTCGCTTCAAGATTCACCAATCAGTAGCGTAGAACAGTCCATTGTCCTGGTCATGCTGCCATGTCTCAATAAACAAGGAGCGAAGCTGTACTCTTCAACGTCAAGGACGCTAGAAGCCTACAATATTTACTCAGGAAACATTCATATGAAAGAATCCATATTCAAAATATCAGCTACGTTACAAAGGAAAGACATTGACCAACCCCTTGTCCTGCACCAGCGGAACTCCAAGGCACCCTGAGCATGGTATACCGTCGTCCATATGGGTACAGGATCCCCCCAATACCTGGGATCTCGGAGCAAGCCTACCAAGTTTTCTCATTTTGCAATTTTTTTTCTCCTTTTGATTTTTATTGTTGTAAAGTCTCGGTACCAGTCAAGCTGCATAGCCGAGCTGCAATCTCTGTCGTATTCATATCGTCATGATTCGTTACACAATATCCTATCAGTTTCATTGTCATGGAGAGGCACTGAGGCAGTCAGAAAATATCTTCGGGCCATCGAAAGTCCTCTTCCCTAAGTTGCGTCTGGCCCGAGTTCTGCATCTGTGCGTTCTTCAACTTCCAGAGCTCCTTGGCTAGCCGTCTATCGACCTTTGCGGCGGTGGCAGCTAGATTCTTCGGGAGTGGAGGCACAGGCGGGATACGCTCCTGCACGTAACCCCGGCTGGGGGTGGACGTCGGAGTGGGAGCGCCGGTCGTGTTGTCCAGTTCCCTCAGATCTATGATCGGATAGTCCAGGTAAGGCTCCTGTGGAGGTTCGTTCTCGCCGTTCGGTTGCTTCTCGACCTCATTCAGATGGTTCTCACTGGCACTGGAGCCGGCGGAGCGAAGATCTGAGCGTCCTTGCTTCATTCGGAGCCATGGCGTCGGTCGACTCCGCGAGGTTGATCTTCGTCTATGGGTGGAGGGCGAGCGTGCGTTTGAGCGACGCCGCGGTTGGTGTTGGTTTCTCCCTCGATATTCGTGCTCTTCTGGCTGGGATTGATCCTGCGTCCGCTTTCGCTCGACAGATCCAGGACTATCACTCTTTCCCATTTTGGTCGCCTTTCGGGGTGTGTTGGTTTCATGAAAACGGGCGGGTTCTTCATACTGAGTCTCCTTGTTAGGAGAATCTTTAGTCATTTGATGAGCCTTGTCACGGACTGACTTTGGATCCGGCGACTTTCTCTTGAGAAATGGGCTTTCCACAGTCGCAAATCCGTTTCCCTGGCTCTCAGCCACTCGTCGGACATTCCCAGACGTCACGGACAAAGGCGCTTGCTCGACTGCTTGTGAATCAGGCACTGTTGTGGCATCATTTTCGTAGAATCGCTCCGAAGGTAGCGTCGGGAGGGCTCCGGGCACGAACGGTCGATGGTATGGTCTCTCCTGGCAGAGTGTCCTTACCGGCTCTTCCTCCTCCTCGCCCGTCAATTCGCGCAGCTCGCGCCTCGCGCGTTCAAGTTTCCCCTCGAGGTCGCTGACCCGCTTCAACAACTTGGTTTGCTTCTGTAGCTCCTTGCGGGATCGCGATTTACGCACTTCGCGACGCTCCAAGTCCTCAGATCCTCGCTTGATATAAGAAATGCCTAGCGACGACTTGGCTTTGCGTAGTTCCTGCAACGAACTCCGAATCGAGCTTCCAGACCCGTATCCTTCAGTGGAATCCTGTCTCGAGTGACGGCCCAAAGACTTGCTGCCGTCCCACTGCGCCTGAGTCGGTCTGCGAGAAAGTTGCTCCGCAACAGGAGAACTCTTCTGCACGTTCTGCATATAGCTTCCCTTGACAGTCCCCTTGTAGCCTGCCTTCTTAAGCTCCGCATACGCCTTCTCCGCCTGCGCCCTGACATCACCTTCCGGCCTGTGCTCAGACTGCGACCCGCGCCAGATATCAGAGACATTCCCCCACACCCCAAACGGATTGAACGCCGATGCAATCGCCCTCCCAAACCGAAAGATACCAGATGACCTCTGGCCTGCACCGCTATCGTTCTGCGCGGATGCGCCCTCGTCCCCGCGTATAAAAATACTTGGCGGCTTTTCGCTTACGCTGTCGTTCATGTGCTCCTCGATGAAGCGAGACGGCCGGCCCCGGCTCGATTTATCCCCGCCACCACCCTGACGTCCATTTCGGCGCGGTGAGCCGTAACTCGAGTTCTTGAATGGCCAGCGGTGATTGCCATGGTCCTTTGATTGGGGATTCTCTTCGCCGGGTTGGAGCGGCCAATCGTTTGAACGGCGCCGCTTGGACGAGTGCGCCGACGGCGAGTTGGTAGGCTGCTCATCTGGATCGGATTCCTCCGCGTCGTCGAAGCGGCCGGATTCGTCCGACAGCCAGTCCGAGTCCACGGCAGAGCTACGTGAGTGCTTGCGAGAATGAGATGAGTGGCCGTTGGAACCTCTGTAAGTCGAGCGGACGGCTTGTTGCAACTGGCGGTCCGCTTGGTGGGGGTCGCTCTCCAGGTGCACCTCGACGTAGGTCATCTAGCAACAAATCGATGAGTAAAGTTGCTGTGGTTAATGAGTCGCATTGCGGGATAACGACGCGCAAGGGCGCGGGGGACAACCATGTGTAGCACAGGAAAGGGCTTATAAGACAAACCTCCGCATCGATCTCCCTCGCCGTCATGCCGACTGACCGCCCTCAGTACTCGTGGTCAATTATATGTTAGAGACTGCAAACATATAGAATGATCATAATGATACACCTGAAGCAGGAGAGTGTCGAAGGCAAAAACCAGCGATCTCTGGTGGCTAGAAGGCGGGGGTGTTGTTGTTATGTGGTGATGTGTTGTTATTGTTGACGGTCTTGTTTACATCCGGGGTCTGATCAACTATGCGCCAAGCGCGCGCGATGGGTTTCGATTAAATAGCGTCTTCAGAGACCCAGACCATCATTATCCATGAGTCCCCGGAGTTCTGAGATAAATGAACACAGTAAGGTGATAACTCGAATGCCTCGCGTCCGGAGGGAATTCTCATTTGACGAGACAGTTGGAAATGAATGTCTCGTTCTGACATGTGCCCTTTGCCTGTGTCCAGTCACTCAGTTATGCAGGAGAACAGGCTGGTGGGTCGATAGGCTTCAGTTGACATTCTTCTTCGCACAGCCAGGCTGATAGATCTAATTGAATCTCCAGTCTCTAATTGAAATGTGCGATGTGAATAGGGAAATGGGATCTTGTAGCTTGGGAAGCCTGGAACGCTAACTCGTCATACTGAAAGGTTAAGAAGGGGATGATTAAACTACGTTGGGGGACAGATTGCCCGGCGCGTCAAGCTTATATGTCAACTGGAACAGGAATCTCGTGTCTGAGCATATGATTGATCGTATTGGACAAACATCTATGACTTCCTGAAAAGGCCACGGCGCTCTGACGCGGCCTGCAGATTTTTTGAAGCAGATACAGGAAATAAAGGAATGAAGTAGCCAAAATAGACACCTACCAAAATATCCACCAGTTGCTAAAAGAACCAAGAAACGACCAGCACGGGAACAGGGTTCATGTTCGATAGAACTATGGAGCTTTGGAGTGCGCTCAGATAAGCTGCCAAGTAAGAATGTACAAAAGAAACTGTGATGGCGGCAACCAGTACGGTCGGATATATGAAGTTCAGAGAAAAGAAAAATCCCGGCGTCCAAGCCGAATACACAAGAGTACAATGGAGAGAAGTTGCAACTTCCGGAACGAACATAATCTTCAACTGACCAACACGTTGGCTCAAAAGTCGTCACATAAACTGGAAAAGTTCCTGAACGCGTTATGGTAGCGCAGGTGAAATCTTCATGACCATCCTTCCATTCGCTCGTTTGTAGGCCATCTCATCACGCGAATCGGTGTAGAATGGGAGCCGGCCATAATCAGGCTGCTTCCGAGCCATCCCAGGGTATTGATCCATATCAGGCCGCATCCCGTTGTGCAGAGGACGCTCATCATTGCCGAAGGTTTCCTCATGCGACCGCTTGGATAGGGAATGATTCGTTTCCCAAAACAGGCGCTTCCCAGAACCGAGCTCGTGATGCGGGCTCTGCGCGTTGCTATTCATGGGCTGAGGCGGATGGGAATATTCGCCCGAGAGAACTTTCAAAGGCGGGAGCGAAGTTACATGGTTTGCGGGAGTCGGAGCACGAGGTACCGGAGGTTGCGTTAGAGTGGGGTATGCATTCGCGTCGGAGGAGCGAGAATCAGTACATGTCGGCATGTTCGGTACCTTTGGCGGCTCCAGCCTGAGAGGAGGTAGGGCTGCTTTGGAATAGCTTGGACGCTCAGCCGGTAGGCGAGGCTGGGGGTATGGGTAGCCAGAGGGAGTAGCATCGTACTCGGTGCCACTGGAAGGATTTCTTGAGTGAGAATAGGAAGGATGTGGGGAATATGTGTTCGCGGGAGTGGCCGACTGAGGTGTTGGCGGCAGTTGGGGAGCCGGATACTGGCTTTGTGTCGCTCCGAACGAAAGGTGAGACTGATATGAAGATGTCTGTGTCGAAGTCGCGGAGTTTTGAACGGTAGGTGGAACGGGAGCTGCGGGGGCTGCTGGAATGGATCGTTGGTATGGCTGCGCGCCTTGGAATCCGTAATCGCTCGCAGACGGCCGTCTCTGCGCATCAGAGCCATAGGGGAAGGCGGCATCAGCGATGGTGCTGATGCTGGTGGAACGAGCACGCTCGGCCGAATTCGCCCCGTACACGTCAGGGGTTGTGTATCTGTCCGACCGAGCAGCAAAGACCCTCTCATCATCAAAGTCATAATCGTCGGTGCGCTTCTCGCCGCGGCGTCTCATGCGCACATCCCGTCGAATACGGACTCGGCAGCCTTGCTCTGCAATGATGCGGCTGAGCGATGTGCTTGTGGCCAGTCCGGGGAACTTCTTCGCACTGTAGACGGTGAACGGGACCGACTTGACTTCGAGGCGGAAGTTCAGATACGATTTGGGCGCTGATGGTTTGGTCAAATTGATGCTCGAGTTGACGTCAGGCATTGGCGTGTCCTTGTCCGCATCCTTGACGTCCTTGATCTCTTCGTACAAGTGGAAGCTCAACCGATATCTACCCTCGTGACGAACGGACAGGTCAGGAAAGATGAAGTAACCTGCTTGCTGTGGACGGTCGAGATACGCCACGCCTGCTACCGGGACTCCTGTCAGGACCGGGCATGTTGGAGGGCCGGGGAGTCGTCCTTGCGCCATGGGACGAGCCGTATCCAAGGTAGCGAATAGGAAGAAGTTGGCGTTGTAAGCGAAGGTTATGTCGGTCTTGTGCAGATCATCGTTGGGGTCAGACTCGAAGATTCGCAATTCAACAACAGGTGGAGGATCAACCGGTCGACGGTCGGCAGAGGCTATGAGATGTCACCATTGATTAGCTCCACGTCCAATGCACAGCAATTGTGAACAGCAGCAGATCATACACTTGGCACCAGCACCACAGGCTCTTGCACGCTCCGGCTGCTGCATCACACTAAGCTTGTATGTAATCTTCTTGCCCTCGCGAGTGATTCTGCTGACGGAGCTCTCCGTCTCATTCGCGGGAGGCATTAGAGGAGGTCTAGTCGCCATTTTGGCTCTTGAATGAATTCGAAGGAAGCGGAATAACTTGATGAGATCAGTATATACGAGATCAAGAAATCACGAGAGGTAGATGATGGCCATGGTAATGGCATCGTATCGCCTTCGGCACTGACTTGTTTTTCAACTCATATATAATCAGATGGGTAGGCGCTGTGTCGACAATTGACAAAGACTTATAATAACAACGACCCGAAATTTGCATCAAGCAAGCTCGCTCCTTCTCGAATTCGTTGGATTTTAATGCTTTTGACGGACGATTTAACGGACCAGTCACTTGGCTGAGGTATAAAGTCTGGAGAAAGGTTCGACGAAAGAAAAGTTAACGAAGAAGAAAATAGATAAACATAGAACAGAGAAAAGAGAAAGGGCTGGATCTGTTGCGTATTGTGTGGGCAACAGATGCGGCAGCCCTGGGCGTCGAGGTGAGGATGATAGAGTTGAATAGATTGAAGATGGAGAAGGTATCAAAAGAGCGGGAGGGGGCATGGGACTGGGGAGAGCGAGTGGAAAAAGTCAGCCGTGCGGTTACTTAGTCGACTTTAGGCGTGGGCTAGGGGAGGTACTTTGGTGCTAACTACACACTTTACCAGGGACTGTGTCTCCCCTACTAACCGGTTGTGGTTAATTGTGGAGGTAATGATCAGTGACTTGAACCAGAGCTACCGACCCTAAGGTAATCCTTCCGTCCTAGTCGCCTTTGTTAGCAGCCCACAGTTCTGATTACAATGAAACAATGAAGTGGTTGCTGAATATCATGCTGATAACCAGTATGAGACATCAAGGACAAGTCGAGAATTATCGTCAAATCGATATTCCCATCCTCCACTCAAAGGTCCAGGGTATAACACCTTATTAACTTGAGCATTCGGCATACAGCACTGTCGAGAGCGTATGGGTATTGTCACCTATGCAGCATGCAGAATACTGAGCCGGAGGAGTGGATCCTGGGTAAAGGTCTGGAAGACTGGGAAAAGGTGGAAGGGGATGGTGGAGAAAAAGAGGGGCAGCAATGACCGATCATTGGAGCCTGGCCAGGCCACCCATGCTTTAGGTTTATGGCAGCGGTTAACTCGAATGAGCAGCCGCTGGCAACTGGTTAGTCGAGGCCGATCCAAAGAGATAGCACATTCCATTAAAGGACTATATAATTAAAAATGCGCTATGAGAAAAAAAGAGACAGACTTGCTACTCGTAACTTCTGAGCAACTAGATGAGACCTTGTCGTCGTCATATTATCACGTGACTTGGCTTCGGTGTTTGATACTGCTGACCAAAAGTCAAGGATTAATTTCCCATTGGGCTCTGCCATAACCCAGTCCAGCGGATCGGACTCGTTGTCTCTTCCCAAACCCGAACAACGGGACGACAAAGAAGCGAAAAGACAACCAAGTGGTCTATGCGTCTCAGGGTCACCGTCCTGCAGATTGCAGCCGAGGAATTCATGGCGTTCAGGCTTCAGCACTATCGGGGTGGATGAATTCTTCTCCAATGATTCTTCTGTAACTCTGAGAAAAATGGATCGGAGTCTACGGAGCAAATCTGGGATTTACTACACCATTAATACCTGGCTATCTAAGGTAGGTACTCCGTATCTGAGCACGCTATGTTGGGCACTCTTGCTATGAAGCCATGGAGAAGAACCAATCGATCTCAGCGATCCTAAAGGAGTTTGTTCAAAAATTCAAGCCACAGTATCTTGTGACTAAACCCAAATCCTACTCCTGCAAATTATCATGTTTATGTCAATCTATCGAAGCGAGAAACAGAGAATAACAATGCACCTGGCAAAGAGACTAGAGTGGTACTAGTCATCAGGATCGGGATTTGAGAAACCGCAGTGAGACGGGATCTGCAACCTAACAGGCCAAATCGCCTCGCTTCGTCGGATGGATGCACGGAACAAATGGAGTCAGCGCTAGCAGGGATATCCATGTCGAATTTGGCTGAAGGAAACTCTTCCAATTGGGTTATGCAGCACACCTTTGTTAGCGCGGAGGTGATTCGATGTTAATGTCCGACCGCGTCTATTTTGGTTAATGCAGGTTTTGTATGGTATTTGGTTCTTACATGAATCATGCTGCTTGACCAGTGATCAGCAGCAGACTAACCAAGCCTCGACAAACACAGTTCTACCTAGCAGTTCATGTTCAAGAAGAGAAGACACTCATCGTTCTCCGTCTATACGACCGAACAAGGGTAATGACAAGTTCGCGAGAGTCCCAAAGTCCGACCAACATCGCTCCACGGCATGTGTCATGATGATCATCATAATTTCTTGGTACCATGACGGAAACTTTCGACAAAACCCACTTCTGACGGTCCGCACCGAATGGAAAGACGGGCCCGCCTCAAGCCGCTCATGGATATTCCTCTGGTTGGTTCTTTTTATCACCCAAATAAGACGATCCAATCAGTAGGTACTAATAAGGAGGACCTAAGGTACAGGTGATTTCCTCATTCCACACTTCCACTAGACATGGAAATAGCCAAAACATCACCTCATTGTGACACTGAGACATTGTCAACTGAACAATACCCGAGGCGAGCCTCGTGCACAACTAACGACTGACCAGGTGGCAGTCCGAGGTCCACTGTCTGTATCGCTGTGGATGAAACTAATACTACCTTAAGAGAGTTTCGTAGATGCCTTTTGGGCTTCGGGTTGGTCTGGATTGGGACATTTCTCCGGGAGATCTGCATTTTTGCCTCAGGCTGTGTTACTGTTACCACCTCGATCACACCCGACCCGACGATCGTTGTATGGGATGCCAATAACGTATCGGTCAACCTATCCAGAGAGGTATGCGGCAGTAATAATAATAGTAATAATGCATTATTCTGTTAGTCAAGGAACGTTGTTCTAGCCTAATCAATAATATTTCTTCTTCTGCAGCATCCAATCGTCATGTCTCCAATAACTTGACGAACCAACCACAGAGACACATGTATCTAAGGTAGATCTACTGTTCAATACGGTAGTTTTGAAGGCAGCTTACCAAGGAATTACCAAGCACTTTACCTGGGCTATCTTAGGTCACTTACCTGGGCTATCTTAGGTTACTTCAAGAGTTCGGCCGAATCCAACCAGAAACTCGGCCCATGATTCTGCAAGTCTTGCACGCCATGCCCTTCATTTTGACATAATTCGAGACTCTAAATATTATTGGCTCTCCCGTCATCATCCAAATAAAGGAGAAATCGGCCCATTTTGATTGCAGTTACGGCATACTCCATAGGCTCATAGCACAAGATGCAGTGGAACAAATAGCGTATTTCCTATTCTCAATCACAGACTCACAGACTCAGGCAGTTAGCAGCCCGCAGCCCACAGTCCGCACATCAGCAGAGGCAAATCCCATATCTCGGTACGGGGGGCCCCCTCGCATTGACGATGAGCGCGATCGTCCTCGATGCATATTTCTGAAGCATGTTGCTAACCAATACCCAGACTGTCGGGTTATCCAAGATGTGTCTGAAAATGAGATTTAGCATTCCAGCATTCCTGAATGTGACAAATCGCTTGTTTTGACCTTTTCGGAGCAATATACTCCACTCCGTATCTTTTGCGGCTTTAATCGAGTGGACTAGGAATCAAATCGCTACGGAATCTGTTCGGAATGGACATGATCCCATTCCTCTTAGTTTGCTGATTAGGGATGAATGTGCAGCAATATTGGGGAATCATTTAGAGGAGTCAATACTCCAAATGCCCTTACGGAGTACTCCGTAGATACGGACTCCGTGCTCTCAAGCGCAGTAGCGCCGTTTATGCTGCACGGAGTTCATCCCTTTCTGCTTATCGAGTATCAACATTGGCTGTATTATATCCAGTTTGCTCGCCCATGAGATATGTCATGACGTCAAGAAGGCTTCCGGTTACCATCCATATGATACCGGAATGTCATGAGCAAATATTATGCAGTACGACCGTTAAAACCTGCATGATGCTCGAAACTCAAGAAACCAGAACGTTCCCCCAAGCATAGAAACAAGGTGGTCCCGGGTGCATGCGCGGAACAGCTCAACCAAGTCCCTAGATTCCACATCTAGACTCTGGCCTATGTCTTTGAGGCGACCATAGCCATATCGATTGTAAGAAGCTCTTCGGTGTCTCAGGGCGCCTGCATGATTTGGCTACTCTCAGTTAGCGCAAGAATGTTAGCTGTCGATTCCTCAACACCCGTTGTACATCACTCGCATTGAATTCATCCCTCACAATAATGCCACATTGACACATTGACCCCCTATTAACGCCGTTTTGCATGAAGAGTAATACATCAAGGCTGTTGTGTATCGAGCGAAGTGAGTCCTCGCTTCTAGAGTTTAGATCTGTAACACCAAGCCATGATTTCGAGTCGGGAAATGTGACCTGTCAAGTTTGCATTAATAAGGCTTCGTATGTGAAGAACTAAGGTAGCACGGACATTATCTATCTAGGTTAGAGCTAGCTCTATGTCGGCTTTCACCGTCTTTTGCTGGGAGGATGATTAGTGGCGTTCCCTCTTCTGGAGAGGATTCCGTCGTCACGTATGTTGCAGGGAGTAGTAAACCAAACACGTCTACAGTTGCCGTTGCCCACCATATCTCCGTACACTCCGTACTTTAGTCACGCTCTCTTAAAGCCTGTGACTCCGATTGAGACTATTTTGCCCTGCCCAGTTTTCGGATATAGTTCTCTGGTCCGACGGCTGTTGAGTCTGTGCGCTTCCTATCCAACCAAGAGCCAAGACGTCCACTCCTAAAGTCCCCGGCCTTGTTCGAGTTTCGACAGGATACTCTGTCTACTACAATGGCACTCGACTGGCTGATTAATGTTCCGGTTTAACTATTCTTAGATTAAGCCTCGCGTATGACAGGGCCAACGGTGGAGGTGGCCCCAGACACTAGATGACTTGTGTGGGAAACAGCGTAGTCTCAAGCACTCTGTGCTTCAATGGCACGCGCGACAGCTAATTCCAAAGTATCCATATCCGGCGCATGGATCTTGCCATTGTCTCTCGTCTCGTAAAGAGTGCCGCCCTCCGTCCAGATCCTGCGCAAGGTAGCCACAACCGCCAGCGGATTATTCGCCTCCCAAAGCTCCTGCTCCAGCTGCTTCAGCTCCGGCAGTGGCGTATACTCGCGCTCCCACTTTGCCTGAGTCTGCTGCTCAAACTCGGCTAGAATCTCATTCGGCGTTGTGGTAAAGGAGTTGACTTTAAGCGCCTGGTTACGGGAAGCCTCGTTGTTGATGATCGCCGCTACGAGGAGTTTACCCACGCTGGGGATCGTTAGCTCGGATTACATGAGGAATAAGTGCATGCAACGTACTCGCTCATAGTTGTAAGGCTTATCCGTCCATTCCCATCTCCCAGTAGGACGGCTTTCTTGTTCGTGACATCGAACGTCCCCACGCGCGGGCACTTGCTTACATTCTCCAGGTACAGGTCCGCGTAAGGGCCTGTAACAAGGTAGGTGTGTTCGAGTCTCTTCACCTCGTTTCGGATGAATTTTCGCACCTGCAGCTTGAACTGGTGCGGCTTCTCGTGCGCCGACTGCGGCCCGTACTCGATGTCGGTGCCATACTCAGACGGGAAGAATCGAATGACGTTCGGGCAGGACTCAGCGATGCGGATGAGGTTGATTTGAGCGGCGATCATGTTCCGGCCTAGGCAGCTTACGATTGTGTCGAATCCTGGGATATGTGTCAGCCAGAAATGTGGTTGGTGCGGGGGAACAACCGTGTACCTTGGTAAGCTTCGCGAACGCGCGCTTCATCGTTCAAGTCGCCGACAATGATCTCGACTCCATGGTCTTTGAGCCATTGGATCTGGTCTTTCTTTGTATTGATTGTGTTCTGAGAGGTGAAGATGGCGACGCGGTCGAATGAAGTTGGAGCAGCGGTTGCAATAGCTTTGACGATGTATCGGCCTATGACGCCAGTTGACCCCAGGACTAGGATTTTGCGCAGTTGACCGGGCATTTTGAGTATATGACAGGATTTCCAGGTATATACAGGGAACTGAAAGCACAAGAGAATTGGTGCCTGAAGTATACAAGGTCGGATTTCTAAGCGGTATCTAGTGCGGGGATATCGGCTGTTTACTCCAGAGATGGTGTTTGCCTGTGGGGGCCGCCAGCTTACCCCAAAAGCGATATTATCAGAGTGGGATGGGACAAATTGTGTCTCAACCGCCATGATATGTGACCGTACGCCTCTGCCATGGTATTGATATCCTAAGGCTTTGGCAGTCTTTGTAAAAAGCAGCTGCGTCAGTTTTACTTCTGGTATATATTGCCGCTGGCGAGCCAACAGCTACTTCAGAGACGAAGGACACGAAGGAGCTTGAGTCTCTGCAGAAGATCGGGCCGGATGTCTATCTCTATGACGGGTCTGCCTACAATAGCAATGCATCCAATTCCGACCCTTCACTCATCATCCTATGCACCTGGCTCGGAGGAGCAAGTCCTCGACGCATCAATAAATACGTGGCGCAATATCGATCCTTTTTTCCAGCATCATCCATTCTTCTCATTACCACTACATTACCAGATATCACCATTCGTCCTTTCAGCGTGCTGCGTGCGCGATTGAAACCAGCTCGTGAAGCCATCTGCCACCTTTTCTCTCGGAAAACCGGCGATACATCTGAACGCAAGAACGGTGCTCTGCTACATGCCTTCTCACACGGAGGATGCAACACGGTCATTCAGTTGGCGCTCTCCATGAAGGAGAATTCGCCCCCAAACGGGTTGCATCATCTTCCCCTAAGAAGCGTTATCTTCGATTGCTGTCCTGGGGACACCGATTTCCGCCGATCATACAATGCCGCTGTTCTATCTCTTCCTCAGGGTGGTAAGTTGGTCCAGCTTGTCGGCAGGGCTGCGTTGTACACGACCGTGGGGACGATCACTAGTATCCAGAGCATGGGACTTATGAGCTCCGTCAATGATCTGCGGCATCAACTGAATGACGAGGCGGTGTTGGGGCGCCAGGTGCGAAGGCTGTACCTGTGCTCGAAGGCGGATACCACGGTCGACTGGCGCGATGTGCTCTCGCACATGGAGACGGCTCGAGAGCAGGGATACCAAGCTAATGGGGATGTGTTTCGGAACAGCCCGCATTGTGCACTGATGCTGGAGGATGAGAATAAATATTGGACGAGCAGTAAGCAGTTTTGGAGGGAGGAGGATCTATCGTACAAAGTTGATGGTCCTGCATCTGCTCTTGAAGGTGGCTCGACAGACAGAGACAGCCCATTACCTCGTAGTAAACTGTGAGAGTCACGAAATAGCAGAGATGAATAAACCTCTATAGAATACTGTAGTTGTTGTCGTCCAATGGTATAGGTACTATAGAGGTGAATCCGGAGAATCTGATTGGTCGCCGGCTTGTCAGCGCAACATCCGCAATTGCTCATCACTCGCTGACAACGCGTTGTGATCTTCTGCTCTCTTGACTCAGTAACGCTTATGGATCTGTTATCGGTCCTACCGGGCTTCCAAACACGATCATATGCGCATATTATACCCCCTCTCGAGAGAAACAAAATCACCATTGTCGATCTCATCACCCTCGACAATCTCGAAATCGCGAAACGCGCTCACGTTCCCCCCGCAGACCTTCGCCGGCTAACCACTCAAGTTGTCAAGGCGTTGCACAAAGATGTTGGATTTGAAGAGGCTTGTGAGGGTGATGATGCTGTCGAGCCGAGCTCCAGCAATGACATCGAAAAGCCTCTCATCCCTGGTCCATCGACCAAGCTAGACTTGTCGCGATGGAGTGCGATCAGCACTTTGGACCCCGCGTTGGATGAGCTGCTCAGTGGTGGACTGCCGACTGGCTATTTGACCGAAGTGACTGGAGAAAGGTGACTTACCGGACGGTATACGTCTTGTTTGCTATTTCTGACTGTGCGAGGATGTAGTGGGAGCGGCAAGACGCAATTTCTCCTCAGTCTCCTTCTAGCGGTGCAACTTCCAGAACATCGAGGTCTCGGAAAACGCGCAATATACATCTCAACGGAGGCCCCGCTGGCGACATCGCGGCTGTCGCAGCTCCTCGAGTATCATCCTTACCTCTCGACCCTCCCGAAAGACCGGGCCCCGACACTGGAGAACATCCTCTCCATCAACGCGATGGACCTGGAATCCCAAGATCATATCCTCAACTACCAGTTGCCAGTTGCGATTTCCCGCTACGATGTTGGACTCGTGGTCATCGACTCGATAACTTCCAATTACAGAGCAGAACATACATCTCACAACGTCCTGGGTCTGTCTACACGATCCGGGGAACTGGCAAGACTGGGCCAGATGCTGCGCAACCTAGCCGTGGCAAAGAATATCGCAATTGTTGTCGCAAATCAAGTCTCGGACCGCTTCGATCCCCTCGAGAGTAACGCAGCATTACGGCGCGCCGCCGCATACGGAACTACTATTGTCTCATCCTCGCCCGTATCGACACAACAACAACCGGCGACACCTCTACACCGCGACTCAGCCGTCGGTTCACCCCTTCCCGCTGCCCGATCCAGGCCTCCGGAGTCCGGAAATGCCGAGCTATCTCCTCATATCACGATCGTTCCGCCATCTTCATCCCCAGCATTCCCCTCCTCGCCGTTCGTCGCGGACGACAACCCGTCCGAGCACCAGCAGCAAGACTTCGACGGATCATACCTAATCGGCAACCCCGTGCGCAACGAGCTACTGAGCCTAATGCACCAGCAACGATTCTTCACCGGGTGGGGCGATGCACCGCAGGCCGCCGCGCCGCCTTCACCATACTACCTCACCCGACAGCCCCCGCACAAAACACCCGCGCTGGGGTTCGTCTGGTCATCCCAGATAGCGTGCAGGATTGCCCTGAAGAAGGAGGAGATCACGACCACGCTCGACCCTGCGTTCGAACCAAAGAGCCCAGCCCCGTTGTCTCCAGCTTCACATCCACACGAAGAAACTAGACCGACGCCAGACGGTAAGGAACAACGAAGTGATCACCACGGCCTGGAAACCAGTTCGGATATCCCGCCCGTGCGGCGACGGACCACGCCCCAACAGGCAGCCCAAGACACATTTCCCCCTCGCACGCTCCGAAGAACCATGAAACTGGTCTTTGCGCCTTGGACCGCCGGGATGGTGACGACTGCCGTCGACAAGGAGGGGGACTCCACCGTTCACATCCAAGATGAGGTTGAATATACCATTTGGAAGGGAGGATTGAAGAGCGTGGAAGGGCAAGACTAGACGATATTCAAGAACCTATCAACGACGAGGCTGCTAATGGACTACAAGTATTCCCTCAGCATGTCTGACTATGTCTGACTATGTCTGAATATGGTAGACAGTGATTTATCAAATGTATCATAATTTACAATGAAGAATTTGGCTGCCTTGCTCTGTCGCTCTGTTATGTATATCTCCACTAGTGCTGGTTTCGGCGGGCGGCGGAAGCTATCCTGCGTCCCCGCATTTGAATTCCTTGTTTTCTCTAGCTTTACGACTCCTCTACACATATTCATTGTCCTAAAGGATGAAGCTTATGATCGCTTTCTAGATTGATTGAATTCACCTGCGGTCTAAAGGGACGAACTTCGAACACGACAAAAAGGACGCACACAAGTCTTCGCTGAAAAGCAGAATATATGCTATGAAAAGGTTTAAGATGATCTAGAGCATATGGCAACCAAACAGGACTCCCCGACTAAGAACGATTAAAGGGCAGGAGTCAACATCGACGAATAAAAATCTTTTTGCCCCCTTCCAGATACGCCTTTCATTTAGACAACTCACATTCGCTCTATGATATGACGAGTGCTCGTGTCGTGGTCAGATTCGATCCTGCGAGAGCACCACGGAGCGAGGAACTCAAAAAGAGAGACGGGAAGAAAGAAAAATATAAGGTTCTATGTACTGACGAACAGAGACTCTATTTGGCGGGAATCTTGGCAGGAGGGACACCGATGCCGTTGGTGTTGCGGTAGAAAAGAACGTGCTGGCTTTCGCCCTTGGCACCCTCGGTGGGCTCAACCCACTGGCAGGTGCGAGCGCTGGTCCAGAGGGCCTTGAAGAAACCAGTCCAGCCGGTGTGAGCCTCGCTGCGGTAGTGCGGCCCCATGACCTTCTTGATGGCCTCGCTGGCCTCATCAGCGTTGTAGAAGGGGATAGTGCTGACATAGTGGTGAAGGACGTGGGTCTCGATGATGCCGTGGAAGATGTGGCGGCCGACAAAGCCGAAGTCACGGTCAATCGTAGCGGCAGCTCCACGGGTGAAATCCCAGGCCTCAGGCCGGTAGTGGGGAAGGGTGGGGTCGGTGTGCTGGAGGAAAGTGATGGCAACTATATTTGCAAGTCAGCAAAACCTGTTCTATGCCGCGAAACGTGGGCGAGACGATCTTACCGAGCCAGTGGTTTACCCAGAGGTAAGGAATGCCGTACCAGACAAGGAGGTTGAGCCAGCCATAGGTCGATCCGATATAGTAGAGGAGGCTTCCCACAAGGAAGAGACCGAGATCGCTCAGGGCGATCAGCTTGGCATCCTTGGCCTCATACAGGGGGCTAGAAGGGTTGAAGTGGTTGACACCACCAAAGTAGCCGTTCCGCTTGCCCTTGCCGCGTCCCTCGGGCTGGCGCTCGTGGTTGTTGTGGCCAGTGACATTGGTCAAGAGATACATGGGCCATCCGAACAGCTGCTGGAGAACGAGGTTGGACGCGGTCAGGATGGGTGTCTCCTCCATCAATTCGCTGAGCTCATGAGCGGCGCGGCCGATCCGGGAGGCATATTCTTCCCTGGTCTTGGGTACGAAGACCATATCACGGGCGAGGTTACCGGTGGCCTTGTGGTGCTTGCCGTGGGAGATCTTCCAGGAGAAATAAGGGACGAGCAGAAGAGAGTGGCAGACCCATCCAACAGTGTCGTTCAAGACCTTCGAAGGGGAGAATGCTTGGTGACCGCACTCATGTGCCAGAACCCAAACGCCAGTACCGACCAGACCCTGGACGACGGTATAAAGAGTCCACAGAGCGACGCGCACCGGCATGGAGGGCACGGTCTCGGGGGTGACATAGTTGTGGAAGACATAGAAGACGGCCGCAAGGATGGCCATGTCCCGGAAGACATAGTACAAACTCTTGACAGCCGAGCGTTGGTAGCAGTGAGCAGGGATGGCATCCCGGATCTGCTTGATGGTGTAATCGGGGATCTTGAACTCGTTACCATAGGTGTCGATCATCTTGCCGCTGGTGTTCTCGGCATCCGACGCCATTGAGGAGAGCGACGTCGACGAAGGGGACTGACGAGGACTGTCGAAAGGAGAGTGAGAGACGGAGCTGGGGACGGAGGAGTCCGTGGTTGGGTTGCGATGCAGCGCAACGCGCTTGGGAAGAGCTGTCGAGGACATTTTGACGGTACCGAGCTGCTGGTGTAGAGTTGTTGGTGCGAGGGATGAATACTGTCAATTGTGTCAGTCCATGCAAGAAAACCGCATATGATCGGTGGCCAATATCCAGTCAATGGGAAGGTGAAAATGGTGGAAGACGTCAAGACAAGCCTCGGAAGCACCGAGGGTACTTCCCTCGTCGGCTTGACAGAAGTGTTTCCATGTGGGGGACAAGTTCAAGCTTCCACTCACCCAGTGAATCTGCTTCAGTTGAGGGTCACAAACTCGAAGCTTCCTGACTCCTTGTGAAGGAAGGCTGACAATGTCAGAAGGATGGGGTGAATGGCCTAGTCGCGGATACCTCTGCACTCCTTTGAACAAAGCAAGAAGAGGTCAACAAGGAGACGAGGAGGAGGGAGGATGTCGGTTAAGAGAGCAGTCCAGCAACAGAGGAGAAACAGAGGAGGGGGGTAATAAAGAAGATCACAAGGGATGAAAGGCCCAAAGAAAAACAAACGGACCGAAATTTCAGAAGGCAAAAAAAAAAAAGGAAACGCGACGAGAACAGCCCATTCCCGTCTCCCCGATGATTTGACGATCGATGGATTTTGGAATACCTATTTAGATGTAGGCACATGGAGTCCTTCCATGGGTTTGGCTGGTATCGGGGGTAATTCTCAATGGGGAGCATTGACTACCATGGTAATTTTGACCATATCCTTGAAGAATGATTGGCCGGTGAGCTCTTTGAGCCCGGGTAACCCCTGTAATACCACAGCAGATTTTGACATTTTTTCATTCTAAATTTTCTTTTCTTTGGAAATCCGTACAATTCGCCTCAGACGGCGTCCTGGGATTTGAGAGTGTAAAAATCACCTATTCATTTAAGGTAGTATTAGCCACCAAAGCTGGACGCATTCATAAGCACTCGGCCAATCAGTCTGTCAAGCCCAGTCCTGTGCAGATCGCCAATGGCCCATATCTTTCTTGCTTTGGTTCTCCCGAGGCAGCGTTTTGCCATGATTGGCAGTAAGGAGTACTCCGTAGCTGCATAGAGTTCAGCTTGCTCTTGAACTGCAGTTTGCATATGAACAAGCGAGTTCTGCAGCTCAGGTGGGATTTGAATGCGCCACTTGTCGCGATCTCAATCAACGAATGATACCTAAGTCATCAACAGATGACAGACAGATGGTCTACTAACTACTCCGTACCTTCTCACCAATCAACATTGAGGCATTATCGGCGTCCGATAGGGGTTCCGAGTCAGGCCACCTTGAGCTTGAGCCTTGATTTCTGGCTAAATAGATTTTAGAATCTGTGCTCTCTAGTCTATCTAGTGGTATCTACTATGCCTTATTTTCTGGAAGCGATGTTCAGCCACAGCTAAATATTTTGCAAATGGGTTGAGTCTATGAGAGATAACCATGTGGCAGACATGGGGGGCAAAGTGAAAAAATACTAGTGACATTCCGGACCAGGTACAGATACCGGGGTGGCGTCTTACCGCCTTTTCGAACCCCAATCATATATTATATTGATTGATCCACTGCCAGCCAGAGGGAATTGGCTTCTCAACAGTCTTGGCATGCACGAATCGGTATCATTGCCTTACAGAGGTTTACTATCCTTGACCAACTCAGGAAGGAGAGGTCTGCTCCGAGGTATCATATGCAAATCACCTAGGTCTGGAGAATTGTCTGCAGCTTTGCTTGTGGAGGTGTTGACACTCGACTCCTTGAAGTCAAGCGGACTTGACATTATTTAGCTACCACCGACTTACAAGTTCGTGGGTCGGAGATGATTCGGAGCAGCTCCATATCAGTTCCCCATTGTCCTTCTAGAACATCTCCAAGTTTGGTACCAACTGCAGACATCAAAATTTCGCAGCATCAGTCCCCTCTCAATAGCATGTGAATCTCATCTTCACCCTCACCCTCACCTGACTGGGAACACCCTTGCTCAGACTTACTGCTAAAAAGCAATGTAGTATCCTCCATATTGAACCGAGCTTACTCGATGCAAGCGCTGGCTTACCTAATGTACAATCCTAGATCATCCTCAGTCTCACCAATAACAACCAGCCTAGACCGGTCAAGGTTTGATCGCGATCATCAAACTAAGGCGCGGCTAGCTTTTAGGATCTTGCTAGTGGTCTACAATTGCAGGCGTCGGCTTTACTCCGTACTCTGTCCATTCTTCCTTTGAACCTTTGTAAGATTCGTGATCGAGGCAATGCATGTGATTCGGACCTTGCTTACTATGGTAGTATCATAGTAAATCACTCACAGATCCTGTTGATCCCTCGGAAAGCTCAACAAATCAGTAGAGAATGCCACGACACACCTCTATCTATTTCTCATGACAAGGGAGTCTCAATGCTGGCATTGAATATCACTACCCATGCAAGAAATAGATTCCTGTGAAACAAATAGAACAAATCCTTGATCACCGGAGATCTGGGGTTTGATTTCGCATTCTACCTAGTCTCGTCCGGAGGAAGTTGCAGTAAACTGTTGGGGCGGAGCCATTTTGTTGAGGATGGGAGGATCCGGTGGGTCGGGCTGACTTGTCAACACTCAAAACTAAAATTTCTTGTGAAGAGTTTAAAAAATAAAATAAGGAATTAAAAGCGGGTGCTTAGTCACCAGTGGCCTGTGTATTTTTCTTTCTTTGCAAATTTGGCCCGACAATGGATATTCAGCAGGGTGCACAACCATTTGTCTATCTACACTTGGATCTTGATATTCTCATGCTCGGATCGCTAGGTTACACAGTTACAACATCGTTAACATCATCATGCATGTACCTCATTTCGACTCTCTGAATTTATCAACCACGAGCCACCGTGCCCCCCTTGCCCGGCCGGGCTGAGACTGACCGTCGTCTGCCGTAGATCAGGGAGCACTAACACCGTCTCCCCATGATTCCGGTAATCGAGCTCGTTTGGGATCTGTCGCCGCTGCAGGAATGGCGCACCACCCGCCGCCGGATTTCCTGGTTGGCTCGTCGTCGCCGAAGAGGGTGGCGCCGCGGGTACGTAACTTTTGATCTCCAGCCCCGGAAGGAGGAGATGCCCTGCTTTCTGGGGCAGCAGCATGACGGGAAACGTTTTTGTTTCATCCTCGGATGCGACAAAGTTTCCCCGTCTGCGTCCTCCAACGAGCCACAGTTCCGGGTTCGCGTGAATCTCGTAGGAAAACTCCAGAGTACCCCCCGCGTTCTCGCGAGTCTCAGGCGAGCTCCATCGCCGTGTATGACGTAGAACGAGTTCGGCCGCAATCATCTGACCGACGGCCGCGTGTCTTGGCTGATCCGCGAGATTTTTGAGTCGCAATTCCGCGGTGTGTAGCACTTGGATCTCAGGTATGTCAACAGGGATGACGATCCGACGGCTGAGTATGGTTGGCTGCTTGGGTAGCGAAATGATGGGATTGTTCTGTTTGGATGTTAGTCGTAACTTCGAGCCATATGAGGTAAAAGTGCACTCACCTGGTGCCATGTCATGAGCCACGCTTTTAAACTGTCAGCTGGCTCCTTGAGTGCACTGAGTAGACCATCCCATCCAACATTTGCATATGACAGCGTCCCCATCTCGCGGATGAGCCCGATCACTTCCATGTCTGCAGTTGACAGTTGTGTGCGGAATGCCTGCACAATATGAGAGGTGAGCAAGGTGGTATACTGGCGAAAATCGCTGTCGGCAATACTGTTCTTGAACCTCGTTTCGACTGCGTCCAGGCACTCATCGTCCACACAAGTAAACTCGACACTGAGGCGGAGAGAGCGTCTTGAACCTGGTGAAGTAACACTATCCTTTCGCTGCTGGATTCTGTATAATAACGACGCTGGCTGCTTTGGGAATACGTCCATTGCCACCGAGTCCTTCACGTGCGACTGAACCTCGTAGACGTCAGAGCTGGGGATACTGCATTTTAGAATTCGAAGGGGAATCATCATCGCTGGGCTGACGGTAAATCGAGAGAAAAGAACTTGGTCTTTGAAGACGTCTTGCACATTGACGCTAATCGGCAGAGCGGAAACAATGTTATGAAGAGAACTGTAAGAGAAGAGGCCGCTCTCCGTCTCGTAGGAAACCTCTGCCCGTGCCGACAGCATCGGATGAACCTCTTCGACCGTATAAGGGATACGGAGCCGCAGTATGGACTGCGGTCCCAACTGCGCAATCCCAATGTTTCCAGACTCGCTATTTGTGGAGATGGTTATACCTCCTTCCACCACCTCTGCCTCTGCTACCCTCAGTCGAAGACCGGCAGTAGCAGGCCGTACGCGAATCGTGCCAGTTTTGATGTTATTGCGCCCGCTGTAGAGCTCCAGCTCGAGTGTCCGCATTGCCTCCAAATTGACTACATGTGGAGACGTAATCTTGGCCTGCAATCCCTCGGGTCGCGGGAAGCAGTAGACGTAGGGCCGACTATCGACCTCTTCAGCGTCGAGCACCTCCCTAAAGCCCACAGGAAGGGCTGGATGCTTTCCGCTGGCTAGCGTGAACAGAATGTTGCCAGCTCGCATTTCCAGGCGGTCCACAAAGTATTTTCCTTGCAAAGTAGCCTTCCATGAGTTTAGTGAGTATGTAAGGAAGTTCGAGGGGTCAGAGAAAGCTTACCGTGGAGTCAACGAGAACTTTTGTGGGCGACGACTTGATAATCACCTTATTGGCAGTTTCTATCCAGTGTTCATTGCTATGCGGCCCGCTCGCACTGACAAGCCGTAACTTCATCGAATCAATCTCGATTCGTTTTCCTAGTAAGAACTGCAGGCTGAGTTGCATCTGAAACCCATCCTTGTCATCGTAATGAACGATGATGGGTTTCACGTCCAAGTCTGCAAAAAAGTCGGCGAAAGGTGCTGAGACTTCCTTTTGAAGCATGCCAGAGGCTTCAAAGAGTTTGTCCACATACCGGGAAACCGGGCTCTGCTCGGTAAAGATGGAAGAAGCATCGAGCGTCTTCTCTCGCGCAGTCAAGCCTGAGTGCGTGTGCATGGCGAACTTGGCAAGAAGCCGTAGCATCGTTCGTACGTACTCCTCGTTTCGTTTCAGCTCTTCGAGACATCTCGCATACATTTCGAGCATGATTCCTTCCAGTAAAATCCAATTCTTGGTCCCATAGAATGGGATGATTTGGTGGAAATATGAGGCAGCTGCGATGTAATCATTCTGTCGATAACGTAGAAGAGCCATGTCGGCGAGAGCCGTCTGGGCTGAATATGTGCGGTTCGCCATAACATAGTGACGATACACCAAGTCCGTAAGCTGCTCGTAATGAGAGCGGAACGACTTCCTCGATCGCAGAGCAGTCCTTAGCTCAAGAAGGTCAATTCCGAGAAGAGGATCCGAAACCAGAGACTCCCCTTTCCGCTTCTCTTCTGGCTTCTCTTCCATCTCACCATCCAAGGAAACTTCGGTCATCTCGTCCTCGCCTCGACCTTGCTTGTCGAAGAGCAGTCCCAGATCCTTCCAGTTCTCGTTCCAACCAGATCTGCCAGCGATTTCTTCCAAAAGGCGTCGTGCCAGTGAAAGGAGTTCTGCTCTCCCACTCGCTAATTGCTCGGAACCGGTCTTTGGGATAAAGGCAGGTATGGGCTTCTGTGATTCGTGGTCCGCCCGAGAGACATTGGCAAGAGTATCTGGGAGCGGAATTCCGTGGCTGTTAGAACGGCCAGAACGAGTTGTGGCTGGTGATATCAATGAGCTCGAGCGTCTGGGAACCTCAGGCTTGGGTTCCGGGGTGCTGGTGGCCGCCACAGCCTTGCTCATAGCATGAAGGGAAGACTCGGGCAATGTGAGCTTCGATGTGTATGTCTGAATCAAGACCTGGCTTGCTGCAGCATAGGCCCATGACGATACCAGGTTGTTTATGAGGTCCGACTTGGACGGATGATCCACGTCAGCCAAGCCAGATTCGAGGTCAGCTCTCAGCGTACGTGCGGCGAGAGTGATAAATTCGGCGGCTCTCTCACAAAGCTCGGAGAGAAGCATCAAATCCTCAGGTTTCTTGTCCTTCTTCCCTTTCTGGCTTGCGCCGGTCTCTGTCGCAACCAAGGACGGCGCTCTGGCGGCTCTCAGGAGCAAGGTCAGCTGCCGGGAAAATACATATGTACGGAAATCGAATATCGAGATGTCGCTGGCGAGAATCATCTCTCGGTAAGGCTTTCGATTTGAATCTAGCGGAAAGTCCTTGGGGTCAATTTCTCCAACAGCGACTGCCTTTTCGTCGTCATCTACATCCGAGGGCGCCGAGCCTGCCTCCTCCAAAGCCGCCTTGGCTTTCTCCTGCCAGTCCTTGCTGACAGTCAAGAAAGCACCTCCATGCTGATCACCTGTGCCCTGAATCTGCTCGTGGATTGCCGTATCCAGCCCCACCGAGAGCTCATCGTATCCGACCAGCGCATCCTCGAACAATCCCACATTCTCGAAGCCCCTCGCAAGCCCCTCCTTGAGTATAAAGAACGTGCAGAAATTCCAACCTGGCAGACTTCGCTGCGAGTCCTTTTCCTTGATATCCTCCTCATACTGCGCGACGCGGAGATCAAAAGACGTCAGAATGGCATTCTTCATCTTCTCCACAAAGTCCTCTACCTGATCCGCCAGCTCAGCCGGCCGCTGCGTGCTCCCCGGCCGGGGCAAACGCAACTGCGCCACTCGGTCAACAGCCGACTTGGACGACGCATTGAAATCCGCTTTGATCTTCTCGAGGACGGTCGTGGTGCTCCGGCCCCATTTCGATGCCGGCGCGGCCTTCTCCGTGCCCTCGCCGTCTTGCACCACGTGCACGATCAACCACTCAAAAGCATCGTGCTTCTCCTGATTGCTCGCTGCCGAGGCACCGGCCTGCGGCGTCGACGCGTGCGCCTTGATCCAGTCCCGCAGGGCCTTGCGAGCGGTTGCTTTGTAGGTGTCGTTGTCATCGCAGCGGAGGAGGTAGATTTTCAAGTACGGTGTTTGGCGCAGACCAGGGATCTGATGGCGTCGGTGAGGTACCGGGGCACTCCTGGAGGTATCGCTCGATAGCTTGCGCTCGTCCGTCTCAAGCTGGGCCGGAACGAAGCCGATGCGAAGCGACTCGATGGATCGAACAGGACGGGTGGGCGATTTCCAGTGGAGGTTCTTGAGCGGGAGCTTCTCCTCGATGACGGGTTGAATGAGGGGAAATAGTCCCGAGGGGTCAGTATACTCGACTGTAGGATATCGAAAATGTAACTTGGTCAGTCAAAAGTGCGTGGTCAACTCCGGCGGAGGGTTACTCGTCCCGACATACCAGTGACACTGCTCGAGCCTGCCTGTGATGAAGTCTCCATATTTCCCGAGCGCTATTCGGGACGTGACACAAGAGTCCTCAGTGACATTCCGCTTCAGAGGACAATTTCAACAATAAGCGGCAAGAAGGGTACGTTAGTACCGGTGTATGCTCATTCAGGAGACAATTCTCCAGGTGTCTGTTCCTCTGGCGGGAAGGCGGTCGAGCATCTCCGCAAAATAGGTACATCTCTTGGCATTGTTTATACGGAGAACATACTCTATGGCCCTCGCATTTCAGATGATAGAAGGGACCACTAACTAGCATTCTATCAGGGCCAGCTGTAACTATAAAATAATGCCTTGAAGACACTGACCACACGTAAGTCTATTTTCGTCCCATATCATGGAGCTTGAAGATCTCAATACAAAAGTACATCTGTACATCTTATTGGGCTCAAATTACATACAACGTCAGGTATAGAGAGAGGAAGAATTGAGGAAGAATAAGGCAAAAGGAGGAGCTGTCATATCCCGTCATGATGCAGAAGTGTCGGCAAAATAAGAAAGTTGAAAAGGAAAGAAGGAAAGACATGCCCATAGTGCCGCCCGCTCGCAAACAACGCCCTGGCTCAAAGGGATTCGAGGAAGATGATAGGAAACAAAGAAGAAAAAAAACGCCAAGGTCTAAGAGCCAACGTCCAGCGCGCCCCGCATATAGCGCGTCTTCACAAATCCATAGACGTCTGACGCACCTTGCCAGATGCCTGGAACGTAACTTCGCATCCATGCGCAGATAACCAGAAGCAGAAGAGGAAGCTAAGACCAGTTAGTAATGGCGCAGATACATGCGAAAAAGGGATTAACGAGGATACTCACCCAAATGAAATAGAGATTCCGATCGCTACCCAAACCCTTCATCCTGCGAGCTTGCTGCTCTCTGAGATGCTTCTGCTGCTCGCGCGAAATCAATTTGGAGCCGATTCGAATGTCTTTGATGTCGTCGTTGTCCTGTTTGCTAGATTCGGCCACAGAAGTGCTGGCCTGTGACTCGAAATGCTGATCCACGGCCGCCTCAGCTGCCGCCCTTAGCAATGTCGTCTTCTTCACTTGCGATGCCTCTTCCTCGTCCAGGCGATCTTGGCCTGGGTACAGCTCCTCGTAAGAAGGCGGCTCAGTCACACTGGGCGCGGAATTGCCTGTCAAGAGGTCCCACCAGCCGTCCTTCGAAGACCAGGATGTAGTTGGTCGATGAGGAACAAGATTCGTAATACGGCGCATCATCGGATGAGCCTGGTAATCGGGCAAAGCAGGCATTGGCGGCAGAGCAGGAAGATTCGGGAAGGCATTCGCGACGCTCTGCTGGAAATGATTTATTTGAGCCTGAAGCTGGTTCCGCCAAGCCACCAGAGCTGCCGGGGGGGAGAACGGCCGTACCTCTTGGGCCGCTGTTGCCTGGTCAGGCGAGGGTAGCGGACCAGGCACATCTTGGTGAACGCTCGACCGTCGAGATATAGTGAAGTCCACTTGGTCCTCTGAATCATCCTCATCATCATCGGAGTCGTAGGTCGCCGGATCGAGCGATCCTGATACAGAGGACGACTCCCAGAGAGAGTGAAGGGAAGCGGAACTGCTATGCCTGCGTCGCAACGAGGTTACCGACCCAACGCTACGGGAGCGGTTGTGCCGAGCAGGAATCAGTGCCGCCTGGTGGGCGGGAAGGGTGGTGGCTAAATCGGCCGGAGTGAATCCCCTGATGCTGCGAGCGTTGACGTCCGCACCAGCCAAACGCAGCCTGTTGACAATATGCGCATGGCCATGTAAGGCGGCCAGATGCATAGGCGTGTTTCCGGTACTGTCCTGCACATCCGGGTTCGCCCCTCGGGCGAGCAGTCCGGCAACGAAACGAGTCAAGCCCAAGGACGAGGCGAAATGAAGCAGAGTTTGCCCGGTCGCGCAGCGCGAGTTATACTTCGGCGGCCGCGGGTTGTCGTCAAGGTCGATGAATTCGAGATAGGTCAACATCTTCGAGTCCAGATCGCTCAGTTTGCCCTGAGACTCTAGGCCAGGGACCTGCCGCTGATGTCCGCCAGAACCGGCGGAGAAGTCTTTCTGAAGGTTGAAGACAGCCTTGGGGTCGCTACCCATGATCTGTTGAGCAGTCTGGAACGCATCTGCCTGATTGCCAAGCTTCTGTCCCAGAATGCCAAGTGCAAGGCGATACATCTGCAGCTCTCTGTCGTCAACATAGCGGAAGAATTGCTGCTGCTTGGGCATCAGAGGTGGAGCCGGCTGCATTTGACCAAACGTCGGATGCTCATGCTTGAACACCACAGCCACCATGCCAGGCTGCAGGGCTGGTGGAGTCAAGCAATTCAGGCACTTATCGCCCCAGAACGTCGTCGTCGTGGCTAGGGTATCACCAAAGACGACCTCCATACCAGGGTAGAAACCACTGCCTAACAGCGTCACTTCTGTGCCTCCGGTGATGGAGCCTTCCGCCGGAACAACCTTGTGAATAACAGAAGGCAGCCGGTTACCAGCGTTTGTGAGAGGAGGCCAAGCCGGAGTGGACGTGCTTGAGCCTAATGATAGGTTGAGGGACTGATCTTGAAAACCGTGACGGGCTGAGTTACCAGGCGTTCCAGGGCGACTAGGCTGAGCCGAGTTTGGCGCCGACATCAACTGCTGCTGAATGAATGTATCCAGGCTGGTCTGGGTCGCGCTGGGGTTGAAGAAAGGATTGTTGTCTCCGCTATTGGGCGTCGGTGGGCCGTTGGCGAACTGACCCGACATGGCCGACGACGTCACAAACGGCCTCTCGGCCGGGGACGCAAAACCACGCGCCGCATTGAAAGGAGCTTCGTTCGCTAAAACCCCTGAATTGGTCCCACTGGCAGATGATTGTCCGTTCTCAAGCTTGGTCATGGTCAATTCGGACGGAAGACGGGCGGAATTGCTGTGTTTCCGTCGCTTGGTCATAGGTCCTGGGAAGTCGTTCGGCGAAGTCTGTCGCGAAAGACTACGAGGTGTTTGCGAGTTTGAGGTGGCGTTCTTCTGGCCGTTCTGAGCGGCGACAGCGAAGGAGCCTGTCGGCATTTGATACTGCGAGTTGAACCGTTGCTGAAGACCTTGCAGATCCGTAGTCGAGGATGATCGGAACGACTGCTGGGATGGGGTTGACGACTTCGCGGTTTCGACGGGAGGGCCTGACGGAAAGACTCCTACTCCGGGCAATTGTGTCCCGTCAGGGAGAGACGGAGAAGGGCCCGGGGCGGGAGGAGCCGGGGGAGCGTGCGTCTTGTGATCATCCGTGATCATGATGGAGTTTGTGATTGCCTGGGCAATGACATTATCCATATGGTCTTTGACTGTGAAAATGACCTGGAAACCGAGCTTTTCATTCTGGTGCCTGCAGTAGCATGCAATTCGCATTGGAAGCTCGACTTGCATTGCTCCAGCGGGAATAACTGGCGCAGGGGCATCAGTGTAGCCTGGCATGGCATGCTTCGAGGGCTCCGCCCAATCTTTGATCTCGTTGGTGTTGAAGACGATGACTCGCTTCTCCTCGTCCTTTTGAAACAACTCGTCCTCCTCGGGCTTTCTCTGCTTCTTTCTGAACGCGCGCTTCCGTTCACGCTGTATGCATCCAGCACAGATTTTCACTTCCCCGCCGTCCAAGGGCTTGTCGTCTTCTGGCAACTCTTCCGTGGCATTCGGGCTAGAGCTCGAGGTACGGTACCGCGTCTCGCCCCTTGCTCGTGCAAACGCCTTTCTCAATTTCGTCTGGTCCTGCATCGCGCTAGTACAGACAAGAGTCGTATGCAGTTGCAAAGTATCAGCCGAACGATCGGCAGACGGAGGAGCAAGGAATTTCGGCTTCGAGATGGTGTGGGTGGGCAGTCGTAATTTCTTGACACCCGAGGGCATTGGATAGAGAGTCAAACGGATGGGAATCTGGGTTTCTACGCGGGATTTTAATGAGGTGGGATGAACGGTGAGGACATGACGCTGAGTCGTTTCCGCTTTCATATTGTTCTGAGGGGGGGAGGGCGCAAAGTGGATGCCGAAAGGAAACCCATTCGACGCAAAGTTGAAGTTCCCGTTCAGTGGAGATCCGCCATTCATGTTGATGCCGCCAAAACTTTCCTCCAAAAGCGACGACGGTGATTGTCCGGGCCATTGGCTTGAGGATGACCTGCTTTGACCGGGCATTTTGCCCACTGTGAAGGGAGATGTCGAATTGCGAAACTGCTACGAGGAGAATTAGTAAAGGGACGAGAAGAATGAGAGTCTGGGTGCATACCGGAGAAGGTGATTGCCTCGAGGTGGAATGAGACGTGCCCCGCATTTGCGACTTCAGTCGCTTCTGCATTTTTGGCTGAGCGGTCGAGTCAGACTTCAGGGCACTGGGGCTACTGGCCGCGCTTTCAAAATCGAAAGCGGCGTCCATCGCCTTGTTGCTGGATTCGAGATCGGTTTCGACGGGGAAAACACCCTCCATGGCCGGCAAGGAAGGGTCAAAGCCAAACATCGATGTCTCCTCCTTCATTGAACCGAGATCCGAGTTGATCCAATCTTCAGTTGCGTAGCCAAATGGCATTATGTTGGCGTGATCGCTATGAGTAACGGAAGTGGACGAGGTCACGGAGGTGTTTCGAATGTGATTCCGCGGAGAATCGGACGAAGAACTGGGACTCGAGTTATCCAGGGATTCGGCAGGGGAGTCTGAAGCAACGATCTTGGGCTGCCTCAGCGCATCGTGTTCCTGAAAGTGTCTCTTTATGGAGAGTTCTGAGGGCGACAAACACACAGATTCCGAGTCGGTGACCGTGCGGGAGGAGTGGGAACGGGCAAAGAGATCGTCGAAATCCTGGCCGGCGGCCTCGTTCATCTGTAGTCTCGTAGAGTCGAGAAAGCTTAAATCGGTATCTTGATAGGGATTTTCCATCTCATCATCGACGACAATGGGATCCAGTGAGGGAAATACGGGAGATGAGGCAGCCTCCACAGGTCCCATCATTGAGTTCCAGGATCACGGAGCGGAAAGCTAGGGGGGCAC